CCCAAATCCATGCAATTAGGAATGAAAAGGGTGAAATTACAACAGACCCAGCAGAAATCCAGAGGATCATCAATACCTACTTCCAGAACCTATAGTCCCATAAGATGGAAAACATAGAAGAAATGGGCAGATTCCTAGATACGTATGAATTACCAAAGTTGAATGAAAAAGACCTAAAAATTCTAAACAACACAATAGCAATCAGTGAAATTGAAAACGTAACTAAAAACTTACCAACTAAGAAAAGCCCTGGTCCTGATGGCTTCACCACTGAATTCTACAAGACATTTAGAGAGGAACTACTGCCACTACTGTTTAAACTCTTCAGTGAAATTCAAAGCGAAGCATCACTCCCAAATTCATTCCTGAATGCAAGCATCACCTTGATTCCCAAAGCAGAGAAAGACCCAACCAGAAATAGAACTATAGGCCAATCTCACTAATGAACATAGATGCAAAAGTCCTTAATAAGATACTGGCAAATAGAATGCAGAAGGTCATTAAGAAGATCATGCACCCTGACCAAGTGGGATTCATCCCAGGGATGCAGGGATGGTTCAACATATGCAAATCAATCAGTGTAATACACTACATCAGTAGAGCCAAGGACAAAAACCATAAGATCATCTCAGTAGATGCAAAAAAAGCATTTGACAAAATCCAACAGGCATTTATGATAACAACCCTACAAAAAACTGGAATAGACAGTCTCTACCTTAATCTGAAAAAAGCCATCTATGAAAAACCAATGGCTAATTTCGTACTAAATGATCAAAAAGTGAAAAGTTTCACCCTAAAATCAGAAACAAGACAAGGATGTTCACTATCACCACTTCTGTTCAATATAGTTTTGGAAACATTAGCCATGGCAATTAGACAAGAGAAAGAAATAAAAGGAATAAAGATAGGAATTGAAGAAGTCAGGTTGTCATTATTTGTAGATTACATGATACTGTATATAGAAGACCCCAAGAACTGCACCAAAACTCTTCTAGACTTAATAACCAAATTCAGTAAAGTATCTGGATTACAAGGTCAACACATAAAAGTCAGTAGTTTTCCTCTACACAAACAGCAGACTCACTGAGAGAGAAATAGGGCAAGCAATTCCTTTCACAATAGCTTCCAAAAAGCTGAAATACCTAGGAATCAACCTAACTAAAGAAATCAAAGACCTCTTCTCTGAAAACAATTGCACTCTGAAAAGAGAGATTGAGGATGATATCAGAAAATGGACAGACATCCCCTGCTCCTGGGTAGGAAGGATTAATATAGTGAAAATGGCCATACTTCCAAAA